CTCACCTCCTGCCCAGTCCAGGACATCGTCTTCCAGCTGCAGCGCTTCGTGTCTACCATGTCCAAGTACTACAATGACTGTTACGCGGTGCTTCGGGATGCCGACGTCTTTCCCATTGAGGTGGACCTGGCACACACCACTCTAGCCTATGGCCCTAACCAGGGTGGCTTCACTGATGGAGAGGATGAGGACGAGGATGAGGAGGATGGGGCAGCTAGGGAAGTGTCCAAGGATGCACGTGGGGCCACTGGGCCCATGGACAAGGGCGGAAGCTGGTGTGACTCCTGAGTGCCCCCTCAAGTGGACCTGGGGGGCAGGGCAGCGGGAGGACCGCGTCGGGAACGGGGCGGGGCCACTGTAGGACAGTGAAGGCGTGTAGTGGCGCATAAAGGCCTGCTGGCTCGGGGCGCCTGCCTCCCTGCTCCTCTGTCCTCGCACAGTGAACCCAGGCTGCAGCCTGGGACCTGGACTCTGGCCCCCGTCCTTCATTCCCACCTCCCAGCTGGAGGGAGAGCTGGGCCTTGGACAGAAAAGAGGAGGGGCTGGAGCAGGCAGAGTGCAGGACCTGTCCTGTGAGTACCTCGGTGGTGCCAAGCCTGCAGGGAATGGGAGCCGGGTGGACATCCGAGGCTGGGGCCAGTGTACCAGGCCGGCCCCCCCGAGTCCACATGCACACCTTGGCAGCCTATATTTATTTGTTTCTGGCTTAGCCTCAAGGGCTGGATGCTGGGCCTGTATTGAATAAACAGAAACCCAGACAGAATGGATGGGCTCCTTGCAATGGCTCAGACCCTCCTCTGCAACCAGATCTCAGCTGCCTCCTGGGTCATGAGGGAGGGTGTGGGACACAAGGCTTAGGCAGTTTTCTCTGTGTCCATCATTCATCTCTTGAAGCACCTACAGGAGCAGCTTTCTTGTTCCCATAGTGTCTGGGGTTGAGAGGCTCAGGACCATACATGAGAACAATGGAGCTGAGCTTGAGTCTGCAGGTCCCAAAGCCTTGACTGTCACCTGCTCCCACAACTTCCAGCATCATTGAGCACTCTCCCTTCAACCCTTTCTGTATACCTGGTGATGAAGTAAACCTTTGTTTGGGCAAGGGGTCAGGACAGACACTGGTCAAGTGATAAAAGGCTGGCGGGACTACTCCAGGAGTACCTGTTCAGTTCAGGCCCAGGGGCACAAGGGAGATGCTGCCGCTCTTAGGCAGTAGTCTGGCTGGCTGCTTTGCCTGGCTGGGTGTGGCACACACCTGCAACACTTTTATACTGAAATTCCCATTAGGACAAGGATATGGCCATCTTGAGAGCAGAAGGGGAAGGAATGTGCAGAGTTGGCAGGGTCCAAAGTGGAAGAGCAGCTTTGCTTGGTAGCTTTGAGCTCTGCAGTCCTGCAGAGACCCAGGTGGGACTGGAGGGAGATAGCCTATCACCATCCATCCCATGGGGTCCAGCACTGCATCTTTGAAGAGACATCCTGTTAGTGATCACGGGCACAAATCAAAGCCAACAGCTTGAAGCTGGGCATGGCGGCCCATGTCTTTAATCCTAGCGCTTAAGAGGTAGAGACAGGTGGATCTCTGAGTTTGAGGCCAGCCTGGTCTACACAGAGAAACCC